GTGTTTCCTGAATCCTCTATATCCAGTATTTCTTTTTCCCATTGTTCTTCATCTGCAGGCTGAGAAAGTGTGAAGGCCTTTGTTGCTCTGAGCAACTGAAGCTTTCTGAATAGAAATTCCCTATCAATTAATAGGCCAACAGCAAATCTTCATGAGGCTCAACTCTGCTCAGTTGCTGTGCTGCTCAAGGTCACTGATGGTACTGATCATCTTGAGGAAACTTCTACTGAGTGAGCTCAACTCAGAAGTTTGACAAACTTCAGCAACTGAGTCTTTTCCAGTGTCACTGATCATAATGATCATTTTAAGTAATTTTCTACTGAGTGAGCTCAACTCAAAAGTTTGACAAATGAGCGTACTGACCCAATGAACATAAACCCCTGTGATTCAGCTGGAATTTGCTGTTGATCACCATCGCCCCATTCCCAAAACACTTGGACATTAAAATACTTCTATCGCTTTCAAACATCGTTGAGAGCCAGGTCTAGTCTGCTCAATCGCTATATTAACGCAAACAACATCATTCAAAGCGCCAGGAATAGAGCTTGACTTGATCTCACTTGCTTCAAATCCAATCCCGTCCAAACTTATAATTTCACCTGGTTCTTGGAGTTCGATGTCGCTTTCTCCTTCAGATGCGCGGCAGGTCCGGGAAAAAAAAAGAAAATTGATGGAACTTGAATCACTCGACGAGGGGATGCAAGAAGCCAAAATACACGTCATGCATCACAAACCATGTATGTAGTCTGCGCTCTGCCAATCTGGAAGCCTACGTTGACGCCCAAATCATATGTCCAACTGCAGCTCAGATACGCTTAAAAATAAAACAAACTCCCAGAAAAATTTCTTCTGAGGGCATTTCGGCTGAGGAGCTTCATTTGATGTCCAATCATTTGCAAGAATTTCAAAGACGCCTTGTGCCCTTGACTCATTTAAGTGAAAAACTCCTACATTCAGAAGATCTCAAACCTGGGGACATCCATTCGATAATTTCCAGATTCCCTCCAGTCCAATCCGATCCAGGCCAAGGCAACTCATGGGCCAAATTAAAATCCGCCTTACCGATACGGAGCAAAACAGCCTTGACATCTGGATCTATAGGAAAGCAACTTGACTTGTATTTCGTGCGCTCAAAGCCCGTTACAAAGGTGATACATTTCCAGATCTCTCATCTCACCTTAACATACAATCTGACTTGATTGATCTGACACACTTCTTGTTTGTACTCAAAGGTGGAGGACCGAGAAGAATTCATCAAGGTATTGAAGGCGTTCATGGAAAACTACGTAGCTTTCAAGGGTTGGGTTGAGGTTGCATTGAGGTCCTCAGAAAACAAGACTACCAACAAAGACCAAGACCACAAACGGTGTTCTAGTGACAGTGACACATCAGAAAGTGATTCATCTGAGCGGATTCACAAAATGCTTGTCCCCAATTGTAAACAAAACAATTGAAGCCTGTCCCTGGTATCCCCAGGGCTGTTGTGTACCCGCAGACTAATAAGTATTCATGTTTACATTTGCAATGATATAAAACATTCTGAATGATGGTTACAGCCTTGATGACATCTTCGCCTGATAGCACGACTCTTGGTTGAAAGATGGCTCAATGATTCCGAGCAGCCTTATAGGCGGAAAAGGATAGATTTCCGGTCGATTTTGTAGAAATATTCATCAAAGTCTTGAGCTTCATATACATCAAGCTTCTTTTCCATGAACCCTGACCCGATATAGACAGGTGAATTCAGGGTTTCCATGGTTAGAAGTTATTTTCAACACAACTTTCTGATGAGCGGACTGAAAATTCGCTTCTTTCACTTCAAATGTCTGCATTGTTGAAGGGCCGGTGATGTTATAAAAACCTTGGAGAAGCAACAAATTAGCAGCATCTTCTCCATCTCCTTCGATCCCGTATAACTCGAAGTCCTTGGGCGCTGATGCGATCTCATTCTGTGCCAGTTTTGCACCAATATGCTCGATAGTAACCGCTTGAACTACGATCCGACGACGTAAGCGAATTCCAATCTGACCAACTGCTCCCGGAAATGCCCAGCATGCGCCACTGGATGCATCGCCACTTATTGCCATCTCAGGGCCGACTGGACTTCTGATTCCAAGACTATCTGTGGCGGGTTGCATGGACTTTGATGTGATATCTGAGATTATGTCGCCACCTGTGTTAAAGAATGCAAAATCGCGGCGCCAGTTTCTATCTTTCATACATTGTTTTGTGCATTCTTCGGCCATGAACTTCACTTCCTGGGAAGTTTTGATAAAGCGTGCAATGTTACCTGTAGACGAAGCTTCATCAGATTGCCATCCGTAGACCAAGCTTTATGAGACTGAGGTCCGTACCATCTTCCCAGACGGAATCATCTTCCTGGAACGTTTTCGACAGCATATCATAATTTTGTTCAACCCATCGGAGTCGACTCTCTAAGTCATGAAACCTCTTATGAATACGTTGCAGTTGCATTGAGTTTCCTATTGATGCGTCGAAGTCAGTCTTATCTGTGCGCATTACTCCTTTGTGTCAGGCCGTTTACATACTCAAAAGCACCAAAAGCGCTGCCATAATCAGTATAGTGATTTTCCGCTTCGTGAGTTGCTGTATCACCTCTCGAACGGCTAGACCCACTCGCCGCCCGAAGCTGTCTTGATTGTTCATTTGATGATTGACAAATTGGTGTTGCAGAGCGTTGGAACTTGAAAGTTGTGAGCATCGGGGATTCGGATTAGCTCACAGCACGGCGTATAGACACCTTCGGGATAGCCTTGTATCCGGATGACCCGGTATGCATACATATAGCGTCGCGACAACATCGGTCAAAATGTTTCATCATGTATTGAAATGTAGTTGGGTTGATAGGTAACAAAAACTACACCACGAACCCTGTTTTATGAATAGCTTGTTCATTTTCTCTCAACCTCAACATACAAAAGGTAAATCTGAGGCGATATCGAACGTGATCGATATCACCGCAATATAATTGGATTTGGATGATTTATTTAAGCTTGTTCATTTTCTCTCAACCTCAACATACAAAAGGTAAATCTGAGGCGATATCGAACATGATCGATATCACCGCAATATAATTGGATTCGAATGATTGATTTATGATATCTTTTTTCAAAGGAATGATGGCAAGTCATTTTGAAAAGAACATGATACGCGAACGAAACGAGAATAACTTGTTCCTTTCGAACTTTCCTCAACCTCAACATATAAAGGCGGTAGGTTAAAGGCGCCAATCTTTACACTGCTCTCGCTCAAATCATTAAACACATTCACCGTCTTATTCACATTCACCATGCCTCCAAAAACTGGTATTTCTATAAAGGGAAATGATCAACCCGTGGAAAAAAAACAGGGTAAGATTTATTGTTTATTTTCAACTCCTCCATTTATCAATTTATTTCATTTCTAAATCATTCTGCCTGTCACCACATCCAGCCAGCCCAGGTCCTGATGAACTGGAGGCTTATCAGGAATACATAGCTTCCAAAGAGGAATGCACCCCTGGTAAGAATTCTTTTTCAAATTCTTTCTCTATCAATTAATTTCTAATTACTTCTGCTTTTCAACACATCCAGCCAGTCCAGATCCTGAGGAACTGGAAGCCTATCAGGCTTACCTGGATTCCCAAGTGGAAAACATACCTGGTACATTTCATTTTCATTATATGTTTGGAAATTCTATCCTGACCTTGATGCCGCCCTACCGGTGTATTCAAACAGAAAGACGGTTCTCTAGTGCCGAACCTGAGGAGGTGGAGGCGGTTATCGATTTCCTCAAGTCTGAATTGGGGCCTTCAATGATGGATATACCGGAGGCACCATCAGAATGCGGTAGCTATGACTCTGTTACAAACCGACGTCGCCCTTTCTGCTATGCCTACCATGGCCTTTGGGAATCCGGTTACTGCAAATACTGCCAAGACACTCCCGAGGACAGATCGATGGAGGAGGCAGAGGATGACAAAACTAATGCTCGTGAGGGATCTCAAGAACAATGACTTATTTGTTCATCTATTTGCTTTGCATCTTTGAATGTGATCGGATCACTTTTATGAGTATGATCGGATGAGATCGGATGGCATCCGAATGTGATCATAATTATGGTTCTTTGTTTTGGTTTTTTTAGTTGTTTTCTTTGAAATTTATCTCATACATTATTGTTGAGCAGATGACTTTGGCGGTTCGTGACCATTCTGTTGCTCCAGTCTTTTTTTGAAAATTACGGATTAACTTTAATTGAAAGCCAATCGAAATGATTGCAGATCACATTTACAAGCAAAAATTTATGATCGAATTAGACGTTAAATCAACATGACAAAATCAAACGTGAAGGTTAGGGCAGTAAAGCTATGCAGACTTCTGCAATGTTTGTATTGGGGGTCTTACCTTCATGATTGAAGTTGCAATTTCCTACCTGATTACATTACTGAGTCTATCTTTGTTTGATACTCTTTGCCTATCAAATGGAAAGGCTGTTAAGAATACTCATTTAAATGTGCAAAACTCCCACCTCAATACAAAACTCAGCAAGCACGCACGAGCACCTTTATACACCCACAAACGGATTATAGAAGATATCACAACCTCTTGTGGTCGTTTGGGAAAAAGGTGCGAGCCGCTTCACTATCCAAACACAATAAAAGTGAGGAGACTGGCACACCTGAGATGTCATGATGTATATTTTTTGTTACGACCTAGAGTGATGCCTTAATCTTATTTTATTTCACAGTACATCCCTCGCGTTTCACAGAATATCATGCAACAGTTCACCTGGTGCTTAGAACTCTGACGTCTACATGTGCCTCTTTAATTTGGAAGCATGCTTACACAGCGCACATGCAACAGTAGTCATACCATAGTAGGCTATCAACCCAGGGTGCCGAAATGGGCAGCAGCTGAAAATATAGCTCTGAAATTTCCCGAGTGACGAGGGCCAACAAAAACAACAAGAAGTGCAAATAAAATACGTATCTGAACTATGGTTCAGGAGTATGATTTGGACTGTACCTTGTAGTTTCTTGCCTTGGGAATGGGAATTTCTGTCATATTCCGTGAGATATGATAGTCCGAGAAATCGAGGAAGACAGCCTTGGCTAGGTGGTATCGATTCAATTCTTGAGGTACCCATTTTTCTGTTGATTGGATGACAGCTTTCAAAAAGCCAACTATATATGATTGGGTCCTCTTCCATATTGGCTCCGAGATCGTTTCATTGCGCTGAGATAAGTGGCTGGTCACCAATAGAAAGTTTACGGCCCGTAGAGGAGTATATGCTCGTATGTCGGTGGGATATATCATTAATCCCTTGACGCCAGAAGATAGAAAGGCCACAAGGGCTGGTAGGTTACAATATTCGACTTTGATTTGATTAAAAGCGTTCTTCAGCTGTTCCTTGTTCGAAGTCAGGGAATTGATAGTTTCGGAAGAAGTACTCCTCTTGATTAGTTCTTCGGTTGCTGCAATGTCGGCCTTGAGAGATGTAGTTGCCCATATACTAGCAAATGTCTCCACCATCGTGTAGATTGTTGCAATCAGCTTGTCGAGATCTTCAATGCACCCATCAGCTGATTCAGCTCGTTTCGCTCCGATATTTGCCCAACGAAAGGATGAAAGGGTCTTGTAGTGGTGCCAGCACGAATAAGCACTACGAGCTCCTGCAGATAGAGGCGAAATGTCGGGAAGTTCGGGAGAGTAACGCGGCTGCTCGGCATCAGATCCAATCAATACAAGTGACGCCAAGACGTAGTGCATTCCACGTTCAATTAAAGTGGCACTAGGCATATGAAACATTTTAAGTGTGTTCCAAAGATAACGCTCATGTGTGGGGAGTGAATCTGGAGGGTCGGAATTGCCAATGGCTTCGAAATCGAATATCTTGGGCTCGAACCAAAGGGTTTCCAGACCAGGAGTGAAAAGTGCCCGATCTAAAGTATGATAAAGGTTGTCAGTATGATAGATTTGAGGAGTGCAGTGAAGTACACCAACTCTCTGGTCTTTCGCACCACGGTCGGATGCTGGGTTGTCCCGAGGTGCTGAACGTAACAGGCTGGGACAGTGCTTCGCCGGGGTCAAAGTTGGTAGTTGACCCTCGTATCAAACTCTCCAATAAAACCTGTGTGGCCTTATGGATCTCCAAGAGTTCAGCTGACTGCATGTTGTTCTTTTCGACGGATATACTTTGGTATATGTCGATTTTGTGTACCCACAGAGAACCTTTGGCAAGCGGTCGCGGTTGAGAACAGGTCCTGGAATGGTGGGATGAGATATCGACCACAGAAACTGATGGGAAGGGGTTGGGTGATGATGGCAAGCTGCCGCGGGGGGTGATAGTTGAGATGGTAACGTTTGATTGACCAGTTGCATCCGATTTTTTTTTATTTTGGAGTGTTAAGAGAAAACACTCGAACCTTTATAGTAGCTCAAAGTTAGAGCACGCTCAAGAACAGTTGTGAGAGTGTTAAGAGAAAACACTCGAACCTATTCAAGACGGACAAAAGGAACTGGACGTGAGGAAATGACTTTTGGACAATGATAATGAAAAGTTCAGATGGGAAAAAGAGGAACAACAGTTGCACACAGAAAAGAACTACTAATAGGTGAAAAACTTCTTTTCTCCATTTCCCAATCCGTCAACTCCTTTCCACATCATCCACGTTTCATCCCAATGGTTACATTGTCCCAATCCGTCAATAAAATGATCAAGTTGTGGTTGTCTAATAAGTTACCTAACCGGTGATGGTGAAGTAGCTTAGGTTCAAGACCCCCCCTCGCCACCATTACCGGGTAATTTTGATGGAGGCAATAGACCAAGACTGTCTCGAAACTTAACAAACTTTGTTCTATCAAGTGACTTTGTCATGATGTCAGCAATCATATGTTCTGTAGGGCAATATACTATGTTTAATGTTTCATCCTTGACCTTCTCACGAATCCAATGAAAATGAATCTCGACATGTTTTGTTCTTGCATGAAAAACTGGGTTTTTTGCTAATGCAATTGAGCCTTGATTGTCGCCGTAAAGTGTAGTTGAACATAAATTTTCAAATCCTAAATCCTTCATTAACCTCCTGATCCATACTCCCTCTTGTCCTGCATCCAAAAATCCACGATATTCTGCTTCAGTTGAAGAAAGCGCCACTGTAGGTTGCTTTTTGCTTCTCCACGTTAAAGCAGCTCCATTGAGTAAGAACACATACCCCGAGGTTGATCTTCTGGTGAGTGTACATCCAGCCCAATTTGAGTCAGAGAAAGCAATTGGAGTACATATACAAGGAATAAATGTTTTGATCCTCGTAGATACCGTAGAACACGCTTATAGCACTGCCAATGAGTCATTCCAGGTCTTTCGAGAAACTGAGATAATATACTGACTACATGAGCAAGGTCCGGTCTTGTGCATTGAGATAGATAATTGAGAGATCCTACTGCTGCACGATAGTCGTTTCCACTCGATATGAATGAATCGCGATCTTCCTCAGTAGCTATTCCAAGAACCTCATTTGCTTGCATGGGCGTGCCAATTGGTTTACAGTCCTCCATACCATTCTCCTTTAAAAGTCCATCAATATAACGCTCTTGAGAAAATGATATTTGGCGCTCAGCTCTATTTCTTATGACCTTCATTCCAAGTAACTGATCTACGTTTCCAAGATCCTTGATTTTAAATTCTTTCTTCAAACCTTCTAAAATCCAGTCTACGTCTTTTCCAGCAAGTGCCATATCGTCTACCCATACATATACATAAGACCTATGATGATTTTCATCTACATGTATAAAGAGGCACGGATCTGCATCACTAATATGAAAATCATTTGAAACAAACCAATCAGATACGGTCATATACCAGTTACGTGCGGATTGCTTTAAACCGTATAAGGATTGAAGAACTTGTATGCAAGCGTCTGGATCATCGATAAGTATCTTGAAGCGTTGATAAACTATTGAATCAGTAGGTAATGATTGAATCCATTCAATGAATCCTTCTGGAGCCATGATATACACTTCTTCACCTTTTGCTAGCGATGAATTGAGGAAAGCCGTAACGAAATCAGCTTGTCTAAACTCCAGATCTTCCAGCGCAGTGATCGCACCAACAGCTCGCAGAGTTGCAATCCTACCTCTTGGTGAGAAGGTTTCATGATAATCGATCCCTTCTTTTTGACGAAATCCTTGAGCCACACATCTTGCTTTATATCTTCCATCTAGCTTTTTGTTCAATAACAGACGAGTACCTATGAATTTTCGACCTTTTGGGATTGATTTACATGGTTCAAAAACTTTGTTTTCGATGAGTGATTTGAATTCTTCATGTACAGCATCACGCCATTTCAGCCAATCAGATGCAAGTTTCGCCTTAGAATAACTAGCGGGATCGATGATGTTCTCAAGAGGCGTGTATGGTAATGATGATTCAATTTCGTTACCAAGTTGTGAAATCAACGCTGAAGCTTGAGCTATCATGACCGATATATTGGGAGCAGGAATCCTCGTAGGCGGTTTGATCTTCGGACGTTTCTCTAGGTTGGTCTTGCGCATTCCGTACTTGACAAATTGTTTCAGCTAGTGCAGGATTGTGGATTCGTACTCTAAAAGGATTGATTGGAGGATCTTGTTCTTCTGGAAGATCATTGTTCTCGTTTTGATCTTCACGAATATCAGGGTCAATTGGTTCATTTTGAATATCTTGATTGTGATCATCTGGTGGGATGTCATCGGGGTCATCTGGTAACACGTCTTCAAGATCATCGATTTCATTCTCAACTTGAATTTCCGTGATGTGATTCGGTTTTGAATGGATTGAGGGGAATTCTTCTTCATTAAAGATGACATCATGCGAGTGAACTATTTTCTTATCCTCAATGCGAATGAGTCGGTAATTCTTTGTGCCTTCTACAAAACCTAGTAGGATACACTTCTCAGCTCTAGAGTTAAACTTTCCGTTTCGATTTGCTGATGGAATATGTTTGTAAGCAGCACACCCAAAAATTCTTATATGATTTAGATTTGGAGGTCTCTGATAGATAACTTCATACGGAGTTTTGAAAGAGACAGTAGATGAGGGTGTTCGGTTCTCTAGGTATGTTGCTGTTAGTACAGCTTCTCCCCAGAAAGATATTGGGAGAGATGATCCAGCTATCATCGTTCGGGCCTTTTCAACAGTCGTACGGTTACCACGTTCCGATATTGGATTCTGTTGAGGCGTATGCGGAGCTGTGACTTGGTGATTGATTCCAGATGAGTTACATAATTCACTCATTTCATGGTTAACATACTCACCACCTCCATCACTGACTAATGTTTTGATTTTTTGACTAAATTGGTTTTCAACTAGTGTCTTAAAATCTTTAAAAACTTTTATGAAATCATTCTTGTTCTTTAGTAGGTATAACCAGCGATAAGATGAAAATCCATCAGTGAATTTTACATAGTAGTGAGCTCCTCCTACAGATGGTGGAGATATTTTTCCACTTAAATCAGAATGAATAACATCGAGAGGAGAAGATGGTTTTGGAATTTTTCCTGGAAATCTGTTTCTTGTTGATTTCCCCAATGCACACGATTCACAGAAAGGGATTGAGCTGATTTTTGAATCAATGCCAGTTGTGCATTGGGCTGCAGTTTTGAGATTTTTCTCACATGGATGGCCTAGGCGTTTATGCCAAATGGCTGAGGTATGCAGAGCGTTGTTCGATTGAGCAGGTTTTTGAATTTCAATGTTAAGAATGAGAAGTTTGTTGATTACGTTTCCATCTAAAACAATAGTGTCATTCTTCTTGAGCACGAACAGATTGCTACTACAGTATACAAGTTGGACGCCTTTCTTCCAGAATGGTGTAAGAGATAAGAGATTATGAGGAAGGGATGGTACATGAAAAGCATTGACTATATCATAGAGTCCATACTTTGATTTGATAGTAACGGTTCCTCTTCCAATAGCTTTAATCACTCTTCCTTCTTCTCCAATACTGATTTCAACATTACATGGAGTGTAAGTTTTGAATGCGTCTCTTGATTTAAACATTGGATCAGAAGCACCTGAGTCGAGTAGATTGGTTTCAGCGCTAGTTGAGCAGATAAAAGCCGTACATCGAGAGAATCGGACTGACCCAGGAATGGTTTCGTCCATACCAGCGTAGTTTGCTGCAGTTGGTACCTCCGGTTCTTCAGCTGGCTTCTGAGATCGATAACGGTTTCGGTTAGGAGCTAGATGACGGTGTTTCTTCCAACATTGGTTTTCTTCATGACCGGTTTTCTTGCAATGAGTGCAGGTGACATCTTTACGAGATTGCTTGGTGTTGACATGATTTGCTGACGCACGATTCGCTTCGATACCGCTAGTCGCGCTTTGAAGTTGGTCTTGTTCAAGTCGATGTAACATGAAATCGAGATTCTGGTCTGGAAAACCGTGAGTCATAACTCTGACAAAAGATTCGTACTCTTGCGGAAGTTTTGATAAAGCCATGATGACTTTCATCTCTTCACCCATCTTGAAACCGGATCTTCTCAGCTCATTAGCACATGATCGAACTTCTTTGACAAAGGTATCAACATCCGTGAATACAATGTTTGCAAATTTAGTGAAAAGAGTTGTTCGATTAAGCATGTTTTCGCCAATATACTTCTCGCGAAGAAGAGTCCATAGCATGAAGGCATTTCTTGCTTTTCCGACTTCCTCGTTACTGCTGACAAAAGCTAGGTTGTCTTCGTTTAGGTAATCGACAATGACGTTGTACGCTCTTTTACTCTTGATACGGTGAGATTCCTTCATCAAGTCGGTAGGCTCAACTCCCGGAGTCCTAGTGATAGGTTCCGTTCCGAGTGCTATCTCGAGGAGTCCTAACCGATCCAATTTGCATTCGATCATCGTAACCCACGTTAAATAGTTCTTCGTGGTTAGGAGCATACGAGATGATGATGATGAGGTTCCGGCATCGAAATCGAGCGACATATCGTTTTAGCCTTTTAAAGGTAAAGTGGTACTGATAATGTGTTAAACTTTATAGTAGCTCAAAGTTAGAGCACGCTCAAGAACAGTTGTGAGAGTGTTAAGAGAAAACACTCGAACCTTTATAGTAGCTCAAAGTTAGAGCACGCTCAAGAACAGTTGTGAGAGTGTTAAGAGAAAACACTCGAACTTATTCAAGACGGACAAAAGGAACTGGACGTGAGGAAATGACTTTTGGACGATGATAATGAAAAGTTCAGATGGTATTTCTTTCTGCACACCTTTATAGTAGCTCAAAGTTAGAGCACGCTCAAGAACAGTTGTGAGAGTGTTAAGAGAAAACACTCGAACCTGAGAACAAAGTAAAGGAATTAATAAGAGAAAGAAATAGTAAAAAGTATGCTAGTATCTAACCTATTCAAGACGGACAAAAGGAACTGGACGTGAGGAAATGACTTTTGGACGATGATAATGAAAAGTTCAGATGGGAAAAAGAGGAACAACAGTTGCACACAGAAAAGAACTACTAATAGGTGAAAAACTTCTTTTCTCCATTTCCCAATCCGTCAACTCCTTTCCACATCATCCACGTTTCATCCCAATGGTTACATTGTCCCAATCCGTCAATAAAATGATCAAGTTGTGGTTGTCTAATAAGTTACCTAACCGGTGATGGTGAAGTAGCTTAGGTTCAAGAGAACTGTCTCAAAACCTCTCAATCATTAGTGAACTGTCTCAACAGCTCAGGAAATCACTGAACAATCTCAACACCAAGATCATTCTCCCCAGCATGGTGATTGAGCGCGTAGTTTGGGGTACCATTACCAACTTCCATGAGTTTAGGTAGTTCAGTTACATGATGTGAGTAATAATAGTATTACATTTGAAAGAATCATAATTATAGAAGACCATCAGGAATCGAATCACTTAAATCAAATTGACTGTCCAAACAAATTTCATCACCCAGTAATTGACCAATATTAGGACATTCACTTTCACATTATCATCATCAAAGTCAAACCTCTCAATTAATTCATCAAAATGATTTGACTACGAGTGGATATTCAAATCTAATGTACTCAAACCCTTTGTAGTCTATTTGAAACCTTTGAGCGCCTTTTTATAGATATTGATTAATAACATTGACCGTAGCGTGCTCATCTGTCAGTCACAAGCACTGACAAGAGGGTAACATTTGATTCATAATCAATTTAAGAAGTGAGATTCAGATACAAGTACATTGGAACAAATGAATAACTATTTCTATAAAAAAATAACATCTCAACAGCTAAATCATGAGGATGGGAACAATTATGGTTTTGAGATTCAAGCGAGGACGCTTGTAGAAATCTGGGAGATGACCTGAACCGAACAAAATTGAGAATCAAACGTATGAATTATTCCTATTTGACTGCGTTCACCATGTCCAAGCGGTCTTTGCTTGCCAAAGTGAGATTCTTGATAGGATTCATCAAGAGTTTGATCCTCAATACACTTGAAAGGGAGGACATGTGGATGTTTAGCCACAATAGGTAACTAAGGGATAATGACCACTGATTAAACTAAACAGTGGCACAGTCTTAAGGAGTTCAAGCTGAAGGTTCAGAATTACCTGTGTCTACGCCATCGTGAGCAGTTCGAAAGAAAGTCGAAAGAAAGTCGAAAGAAAGTCGAAAGAAAGTCAAAAGAAAGTCAAAAGAAAGTCAAAAGAAACTGGCAAATCAGAAGGCCCCCAACGCCGGGGGCCCTACCAACGGGCACGGTAATTGTTTTTGGTTAAGAAGATTGAATCTTGTTGATATATCTCAGACTTGGTTCTAGTATGGCAAAAAAACCAAGACCTCTCATGGCAAAGAATAAAATGTAAGAGATTTTGAAAACAGACAACACATATCGTGATTGATATGATTTAATTGTATGAATGGTTGATTTGATTGATAGGCTTGGTCATATGATGTTGAAAGGTGAAGAGATTGGAAAAGGAATGATGACTTATGTGGAAAGAGCTTGGATTTGATTTGGATTATTAATCATTTCAGTCAAATGATTTTTCTTATACAATAGTGATTTGAGTTTTCTTGTAATAAAGAAGTATATTTGGATTGAAAGGTTTGATACATAAACCAATCAGAATTGAGAGTTGTGCTTCATTGAGTTTAAGTTTCTTTTTCATAAATAGGACTCAATCAAGTCTTTCTAAGGTCTTTGTCCAAGGAAAAAACAACATATCTGTATTGAAAAACCAAACGGTGGTTTTTTGGTTTGACAAGTTTGTAATATAAATAAGTTGAGTGTGGGTTTACTTGTAGCTCAGCCTCCCAATCAAACCAAAAACTCCATTTTTTCTAGACAAACAGATCTCATACTTTGTACAAGCTGATTATTTTGATTTTTAAGATCAGAATGAAAGATGAATAAGAATCAAGTTTTATGAATTATAAAACACTCTAATTCATTTCACTACAAAAAGAATAATGATGAATGAATCAAGTAAGATTTCAAGTAAATAAATACCATGAACAAATCTTTTCATAAAGATAATACATGATCATAGATAAGTTTATTAACATCAATAAATAATGTGATAGAAATCTTGTACAAAAAACTCTTGTTTTATGTAGACAAGATACACAAAATATGATCAAAGACTGTGTATATATAGAAAGACTTAACCAGAAAGAAGTGTCAAGAATTTGGCAAAAGATTTCTCACACTCAGATTCAAAGAATGAAGATCAAGTGATCTTCCTGCAAATTTTTCAACATTTGTATCTCAAGTGCTTGGACCCAATTACCACTACTGCATAAGTATGTATTAGTTTGTTTAATTCTTTTTTTTCTTCAAATCCCCTTGCTTAATAAGTTCTTCATTCATTCATTCATGCAATATCCCTTAATGATCACACAAAAAGACACTTCTGTATTCCAAAAATGAGGAAAGATGAGCCTGAAGAGTGACTTCCTGTTGATTCTCCGTTGTATGTAAATAATTCATGCACTGCATTACAGGTTGATAAACTAATATCACAAAGTGATCTCAAGGGTTCAAGAAAGATAAGAAAAGGCTGTGTTGAATACTTGATTTGTAGATATGTACAATAAGGATCGGATGATTAATGTGAATTGGTGTGAGTGAGAAGAATCGATAGAATTTACAAAGTGATGAATACTGAGCTGTGCAGTGTGCACAGTGACAATGCGCGAGGAGGTGGGGTAAGTTCAAATTGAGTTTTGGATCCATAGATACAAAACCTGTATTGATTGAAACCATACAGGTGCAAAATGACGTGATCCGTTCGGAACGTCGAGGAACTGCACTTTTTAATTAAACCAACTGAATACAGGACTATACAGGATCAGAAATTATGTGGGGACCCCATCAAGTCCGGGGAAGTGTATCGAAATTAGAGTTTTTTTTTTGGTGTTTGCCGAAAGGCTGCGTAGCTCTTCGGCATTGGACCGACCGAATGTTATGAGGTTTTGTATGAGAATTGAAGGTCTTGTAAAGAAAGCCTTTTGGTAGGTTTTTTTCGCCTTATTTTTTTTTGAATTAAAAGAAAGTTAAGTGATGATGAGATGTAATTTAATTTTGTTCGTTTCGAAGGTACAGTTTGAATTGAGCAGCGAGTCGTAAAGTTGAAAAAAGCCTAGAAAGAAAGAAAGAAAGAAAGAAACAAGTTCAAGTTTTTAATCTAGAACTTAATCTTCTCCCCACCAAAACCAAAACTCACTCACACAGTCTGAGTGTCAAATTCCAGTTTTCTCATTCCGATTTTACAACTTCTCGATCTCCGACAAAGCAAATACACCAAAACCATCTTACCTCCCTTCCAAATCAAACCTGATTCATTTTACAATCCGAACTTTTCTGAAAGAAATCTTAAGAAATACAAACTCATTTTTTCCTGATTTGATTTGATTTGATTTGATTAGATTAGATTAAGAATCTTAATCTGATAAACAAATCCAGCATTTTAACTTTTTCTCTTTTTTTTTTTTGATTTGTTTTGATTTGAATTTACCACTATCCGCATACATTCTTAATATTTATCTGCATCTTCCATCAAAATACCCTTCTCGAGAGCTGTTTACCACTATCATCGAGTGAGTTACCGATCGGTGTAGCAGTTTATCAGACTTTACCAATCTCAAAATCAAAACATCAGCTCAATAACCCTCGCAACATCACCCTCGCCACTTACTTCAAATATCAAATCACAGTTCATCTCAATATCCGATCAAAATAAAGGAGAACATTAAACCCATTACCCTATCAACCAAACAAATCGATTGACCATGTTCGCTCAAGATCCTACTCATCATTCTCATTCTCATTCTCAACATTCTCAATCTCAACCACCCAGAAGACTTGAAGGTTTTCACGTCTCACCTACTCCTATACCAATTCATCAATCTCAATCTGAATCTCAATCTCAACCAATGTTACATCAACATCAACAACAACATCATCATAACAGTAGTAGTAGTCCATTTAATCATCTAAATGGATTCGGTTCTGATTTCGGTTCTCATACATCTGCTCGTCTGAGTGATAATGAATTATTAGAATCATTAATCGTTCAAACTTCATCTTCCTTTAATTTTGAAGATCCATTAAACACTTCATTCTCCGCTACTCCATCTAATCATGATCAATTATCAAATCAAAATACATTTCAACCACAACCACCACAACAACAACATACACCATTACGAAGTTTACCACGTCATCTAGATCAATCTACTTGTTCTCCTTCGATTTCTAATTCAGCTTTATCTCCAAATGATATTTATTCACCTACTTCTGGTTATAATTCATCTGGTCCAACTCATCATAATGATATGTTTGCTGAACACCATTATGGTAGTTTCTCATCTGCTCCAACCGAAGATTTACCACGTTCAGGTCGTACAAGTTCGATGAGTGGTAAAGCACCTGCACCTAGATCTAGATCTGCTCGTAGACCATCTGGATCATTCCCATCTAATCATCCTAACAATGGAGGATCTCGTAATTCGTTACTTTCAAGATCTTCTGCTCTGAGTATACCGAATGTTGGAAATCTAGAATCAGAAAGACCAATAGCGATCTCAGTACCG